TTAAGATAGAAGGACAAATCAAATAGAAGTGAATAACAAAATGTATTGAGTTAAGCATTACAGAGATTTTTGGTGAAGTGTCTTCGTCAGGTCCATTTGAAGACAGTAGACAGGACAGAACCCCTGGAGTCTAAATGCTGGTGGTGGCAGTGGTAGTGGAGTAGAGCCATCAGGTAGTTTATGGAGGCCTTGGGTGGTGACCCTGGACATCACGGAGGTGCTGTATGGTGGTGATGAAAACCAGGTTGTAACAGAATTGCAATAATATTTAAAGAATGGCAGCCAGTGATTGCTTGGCTTGAGGAACACAGGCAGAAAGATGACTGGTCAGATATGGTAATGTCAGGATGAGATCTGACAGAGTGAAGAAGCAGGAGTGACGGAGAGAACTAGATCAGGATTAACCAGCCCACTGAGGAACAAGGGCACTGTGAGGGGAGAGGTATAAAGACTTGGTTCTGGACAAGGAGAACAAGAATAATGTCTCTCTTTAATAATCAGGCTATTGTTTTGTCCTGCTTCATAGCTCTCCTCCTGTTACCCTATAAGTATTGCTTGTGCTGACTCTTTCACTCATGTATACACTATTATAGCATGCACTTCCAGCCATCTCAGCCCTACAAATATTTGGTATACAGGCTCCTCATGTTTATTCAAAGTACTGGGTTACACTGTTTGGGAAAGATAGCCAGACGTGAGCCCTTTGGGATGGAAAAAGAAAACTATTCCAAATGAAAAGTAATGATTCATGCTGCAGATAGTCTATAAACTCAAATATATGCTGGACCTCGGAGCGTTATTGGACAGTTCCATTTTATGCAATTTTGATTGGATCTGAACAGTGCATAGACAACTTGGTATTGCATTACTCTAAATATGGCAATGTGTGCACTTGTGTGTGTGTGTGAGAGAGAGAGTGAGACCAGAGTGAGGTGGGTGGTCTCCACTCACTATCATTATACAACACAAAGCCCCATTGGTATTTTGAGAAGGAAATTAATATCGCCATCAGCAGTGGCTGTTGCGTGCGTGCCTCCATGCATGAACGTGTTTGTGTACTTCCGAAGAGGAGCAGAGAACTTCCCCTTGAAATAAAGAATTTTCTGCTTGAACTTTGAGCAGTGCCATGACGCTGCATGACGACATAGCAGCCATCACTAGGCTCTCTCCTCACTGTCAGCTCTGTAGACAGCTTTTCCATCCAGGAAGGGGCAAAGGGAAAACCCTGGGCTTGAAGCCACATTGGCCTTCGTTTAACCTAAACATTTTCTCAACATCCTTTGCTTTTCTCTTTTTACCTGGCTGGAGGAAAAACCATCAGTGGAAATGTTGCAGCTGACTTACCAGAAATGAGACAATTCCCAGCACGGGGCACTGACTAATGTACAGGGTGCCTATACATTTAATTACCATCGTTATTAGAGATTGTATGTAAACGAAAATATTCAGTAATGCTGTATTTTCCTGGTCTGTATTTATTAAATAACTTTTTAAAATTTCCTCTTTTTTTGCATTTATTAAATAGTTGAGTATAAATACTGAGAGAAAGCATGGAGAGAGAGGATGGTGTGACACAGACACATTCATATATGTATTTATACAAATAAATACAAATATGAAAAATGTTTAGTCCTACTACCACTGTACATATAATTTGAGCCTGTCACTGGGCTGCACAGTAACAGTTCCCTGGTCGTAATTAAGGTCATTATAGTTTTATGCTAAAAATCTTACTTTTATGTATGGATGGCACCAACCTCGGGGAAAATCAGCGCATTATCCCAGTAGTATTATCCAATAATCATAAATTAGGATTGCACTCAATGGCATGAAATCACTTTATTCTGCACATTTTCAGCCGTCCAGCCTTCATCAGTGTCAGTCTCACACTACAGCTGCTTTTTTAAACATTACATTAGCCTGGTTGAGTAATCATGGATGAAATAAACCGAGTTCTTTGAACAAAGGTAAAAGCGGCAATACAGTCAAATCCATGTAAAGCCAAACAGCTCTGACACTGATGTAGGCTGAAAGGGTTTTGTCATTTTGCATAATAAAGTGACTCCTTGTCATTAAGGGCAATCCTAATTGATGATTAATGGTATGAATCTTAAGCATTAGGCCACCAGGACTACCACAAAGTTCATATTTTATGCTTTTATTAGCGAGATGACAGGATATCAGGAAGCTAAAGACGTGATGGCTCCCCAGTCAGATGGAAACCGGGGATTTTGCAGTTGGTCAACACACTTCACTTTGATCATCTGACTTGCAGTTTCATGACAATGGAAAAAAGTGTATCTACTGAGAAGAAAACCAGAACAGATACTGATGGACCTTCTAGTGAAACTGTTTTCTCAGTGTCCTCATAATTTCCAAGAAGTTCCTAGAAAGAACCGATAAGGGAGACAATTCAACACATATGGAGTACAAAGTTCTCAGTAATAATTCAATTATGACTTGATATTTTCTTGGATGAAATGAGTGAGACATTCCCTTGTTGTTCTTGTCATTAGCAACCAAATTACGGTACCTAAAGTACCTTCCAGGAAATATTTACAGTTATTAGTGATTCCAAGATGTTAAAAAAAAGCTTCACAAAGAATCCCTGTCCGAATGACACGGTTAACACCACAACAAGAGGCAAAGTATTTCAGACATGCTATAAACTTTAATAGACATATTGATATTTCTGAAGAGAAACAAAGTTATCACTACTTTTATTTACAATACAGGAATAAAAAAATTGTCACATACAGTACAATTGTAAAAACAACATAGAACTTAAATAATTATTTTATTTGTGTAACTACTTAAATAATGAAAATGGTTATTCTATTCACACCACGCTGTCTCAGCAGCTACAATGCAACTTTCACATTAAGTGCTAAAAGAAATGATAATTTTTCCATTTTACAGAATGTTTTCTTATTTCAGCAAACACAAGCGAGGCGGGGGATGAACAACAAACACGTCTGTTATGGACACCGAAATTCAATTAGTCACGAGACTTTGTTGAAAGCAAAATTGCAAAGGAATTGCCTTCAAAATGTTGAACACAATGACCGATGGTTTAGTCAAGACTCGTTTATTGGAATTTAAAAAATGAGTATGAGAATATGGGCATGCAGGTATATGTGCAGTCTGTACACATTAATGAGGCTTCAGACAATCCCAGCCTGTGAGTCAGATGTACATTAGAGTGTTATTTCCTTTAAACAGATCCTGAGGTTAATCTTACATCTGCTCTTCACAGATAAGATCTGCCTCTGACCGTGAGCTGCTTCCACAGCGACTCGGTGGCCGCACAGGATCTTTGATCAGCTCACAACAGAGATGTATTTATGACAGTGGTAGTGAAACCACATGTGAGGGATCAGAATTAGATGGCCTCAGTCAGCTGCTCTAAACTATTTTATGTAGGCACAGAGATGTGCTACTTTTATACTGGGATAAAAAATCAAAAGTAAAGAATGCAATATATCCTTACGTGTCTCTCTGAAAAGCTGCATACCTACTGTATAAGTACACAAACATGAAATGGCATGAACTGACAAGCTTAGTGTAAAATTGCTTTCTATAAACACCACTCTCTCCCATATATTATTACGCTTAAAAAAATAAACCCTCCTCTATGATAATAGTAACGCTATAGTTTCTTTTTTTTTTTTGCAGTGCTAAGTAGTACTTAGGTAAGCTCTATTGGAAATATACATCACCACGCTACCCTTCCCTTTGTAGTTTTGAGTCCAGGTTCAGTTTCAGTGTGTGACACAATGAAAGGAGTTCGATAAACCATAACTGTGCTTGTGTGATGTGTGTGCGTGTGTGTCTTTGTGTGTGTTCTTGTACTTGCTACATTGTGAGGACCAAAAAAAGTATTTTTTGCTACAGAGTGAGGACAGTTTGGCCTGTCCTCACTTTCTGAAACACCTTTTTGAGGGTTACGACTTGTTTTTAGGGTTCAGGTTAGAATTAGGTTTAGGTTTAGGGTTAGGCATTTACAGTCTGCGTTTCTGTCAGATAACACACCAGGTCTCCCAGAAAATTGCTGTAATTACAAATTCTATGGTATTCTCATGTTTATTTGTTTTGTTTGCATTGGAAAAACACAAAAAAAGGCAAATGAAAGAAAAACCAAATCTGATACACTCCACACAGAACTCCAAAGATGGACTGGATAGAATTATTAACACCTTTTTGAAATAATCAGAAATAGTTGTATTTCAAGCCTGTGATGCTCCTTTAATTTGTAATGAAACTCACCTGTAGCAATCAACAGGTCCCGGCAATATAGAAATCACACTTGCAACCAGATAAAATGGAGAAAGGTCGACTCAACCTTTGTGTTGCATGGACCACGCTGAGCATGGAGAAAAGAAAGAAGAGCAAAGAATTGTCTGAAGATTTAAGGACCGCAATAGTGGAAAAGCCTGGACCCGAAGCATACTTTGAAAAACACCCAGAGATGGTTTCAGACAATAAGCTGGAGAGTTCCTAAGTGGCCAGCAATGAGTCCAGATCTAAATCGCACAAAGCAGCTGTGGAGAGATCTCAAAACAGCTGCTGGGAGAAGGAACCCTTCAAATCTGAGACCTGGAGCAGTTGGCAAAAGGAGAGTAGTCCAAAACTCCAGAAGAGATGTGTAAGAAAGTAAATGATGGTTACAGGAAGCGATTGACTTCAGTTATTTTGTCCAGAGGGTGTGCTCCCATATATTAAGTTGAGGGTGCCAATAATTCTGTGCAGTCCGTTTTTGGAGTTCTGTGTGGAATGTGTCAGATTTTGCTTTTCCTCTCAGCTTTTTTGTGTCGGTCCAATGCAAACAGAAGAAATAAACATGGTCATACCAAAGAATTTGCAATTGCAACAATTTTCTGGGAGAAGTGGTGTGTTATCTGACAGAAACAGAGGGATGCCAATATTTTTGGCCATGACTGTAGTTCTGATGGTGAAGGTTAGGGTAAGGGGCTAAGGAATGCATTATGTCAATGAATGTCCTCACAAAGATAAAACTGTGTGTGTGTGTGAATGTGAAACTACTCTCATTGCACTTTTTTTAATGTGTTTAAATTCATTCTGAATAATAAAGTGAATGAAACAAAAAATGAACACAGTGCATGGGAGCCAATAACTCCATTCAGATTGTATGAAACTGGCTTTGACAAAGTACGAGGTGCTCACCCAGTTGTTCTTGTTTCTGTGATAGATTAACAGTCCTCTGTTGTGGATCCATTCTGTACACTGATAGCAAAAGAGTGTTTTGCAAAACAATGTATACATACTGAGTACAGTTATAGCTTTTAATGACGATGTGTCCACAAACAAAACAGACCATAAGTGAGACTACAGTCTATGTCTTGTATTAGTGCCTTTAAAATAGTATAGCACAAAGAAAATGTGACCCATGACATCTCAGTTTTTATAGCTGAATCTGAGATGCAGTGCCCCTCCGAAGCCTGTGTACTGTCTGTAGACATTTATTTTGCTGAACTTTTGAATGGACCGTGAGCACAAATTTGATCTTTAGCCACGCCACCTTAGAGAACATCCATAGAGAACATCTGATGAACAATCAACTGTCTCTGATGAAATGCATCAGACTCCATTATTTGGGGGTCTTTAATAAGGCCACAGAGAGCCCCTGAAAAGATCCAAAGTCTTGGGTTAAAATGGTCTGTTCCTGTGGAGTCAGCCACGTGTGGGTGTTTTCTGATTGAGAGTGGAAATGTCTCAGTGGAACTTCCGTAACTTGGCCATGCTTGTCAATCGTGCTGCTGCTGTCTGCAGGTCTCTCTGAAATGTGAACAAGGCTTGGAGGCCAGGCCTGGTGCTCAAGAGCAAGTAGCTTATAGGCAAAAAAATGAAGTTTGGTATGGTGATGTGGATGAAAAGCAGTCTAACGGGGATCCTGTGTATGTATCTGTGTGTACATGTACATGCCTATGTGGGTGTGATGGAGATTAGGAAGTCATAGTACGGGCACCTCGTTAGAGTCTGCTGGTGGTGGTAGGTAGATCTGTGTCAACTTGAGGATGGCGGTAGGGAGCAACCCCCCTCTGCATACCCCTATACAATATAGCTGGTCAGGTCTAGGAGATATGAGGTCATGCCCATGATGTGGTCCAGTATGCCGTCTTTCTCCTGGTCATTGGGCATACCCTGCTCGCTCGTCTCACACTGGGGGCCGGAGTAGCCGCTCTTACACAGGCACTTGTTGGGCTCCATACACACTCCTCCATTGCGACATGCTGGTTCACATTTGGCTATGTCACCAAGAGGGAAGATAGGAAAACATAGGTGGTCAAAAGTAAAGTAAAAAAAGATAAGAAATACAAGCTGGAGTCCCAGATATTCCAGAACAATAAACAAGTTTTGCAGGAAAAATTGTGGCAGGCCTACTGTGCATGTTGTGCATTACTTAACCTCATTTACACATCGAGAAAGGAACAACACATGGATGCATATACACATGATGCTACTCTGAAAGCAGTAAATGCAAATCTACTAATAGGCGCTCACCAACACGGCAGAAGGGTCCCTCCCAGCCGGGGCTGCAGCAGCACTTGCCCGTAGGAGTGCAGTGTCCATTCTTACACTGTCTGGAACAAGCTGTCATCAGCGGCGCTGGGTCCTCCATCTGACGCTGGCACTCCTTAGGGGCATGAGGCCTGAAACAGGTGTTAAAAAGCAGAAGGCGGAGTCAGTATGTAAGGGGCACAAGCAGTACATGACATGAATTTAATATTATATCTAAATGTCCTTCAATAAATGCCCCACCTGAAAAATTAATCATAATACATAATTGTAACACAACAGAAATCTCACTACTGAAGCTATTTAGGGACTCTCATTTGAAAATATCACTTTTATGACATTGTTTGACATTTTCATTAACACAGTTTTAAATACTGCTGGTCAGTGCGAATATACAGTAATAACAGAATCCTAAAATATTTAAACATCAGTAGCTTCCAATTCCAATAACTGGGACCCCAAATATTAGTTATTATTCTAGCTGTGTAGTAAGAATCAAACACAAAGAATTGAAGCATTACAGTAAGTCATGGCCTTATTATTAATTGGGTTGAGTGTTGAGTGCATCCAATTATAACGACTGTATTGTAAATGTAAACAGGGTTATATTGATTTATCAAAGGCAATCAAAGTTCTGAGTAAGGGTGTGTAGTTATTCTGCACTGAGTCTTTGGACAATTGCATGCCATGAGGCAGGAGTTCTACTGTCTTTTCAGAACTGTAGCAATTACACATATTTGTCCAGTGTTCAGCTGCCAAATGGTGAAACTGGCAGAGTTTTTACATCCAAAACAGAAATTAGTTATCCAGTGTCTACAGGTTGTTTTTGTGAAAAATCAATTCATAAGGTTTTAAAAGTAGCTTGCTAACAGACAAACAAAGCAGTCATAGTACAAACAAAACTCAAACTGGCCAAGATATGTAATTATACAACACAGAGTTTTTGGAAATACTGTAAGAAATATCTTCTGCTTATAGTACATCTAACAGTCAGCAGTTTTGTCTTTATTACTCAGTGGGTCATAGAGAGGTGGACAGGAACCAAAGGACGCCTGTGACAGATGTCAGCAATTGGACCCAAACCACCATCATCACACAGGGACTGTGCATGTGTACATGATGCACCACACCGTAAGCATTTGGTTATTAGGACACCCCTAACCTAACACTTTATTTTGAAGTACTGTAATAGTCACAATAACACTATTTCGAGTGGTACAACAAATATGCTGTCGTACACAATAATACGTCTTTATCAGATTATAATCTGAGATAATATGCAGGACTTCACAACAACATGCAATTCTGAATAATACAAAATAGTAAGACATGAGTTATTAAACCTCTGTAGCTAGTTAAAATGTGCTCATATCTTCATAACTTGTAGATAGTTTTCTAGTCCAATATGTCATCAATGAAGTGGTATTTGGGAATTGCAGACTAGATAATGAACTTCAATTGAAAATTGGGGGAGCTAATATAGAACAAGTACATGAAATTAAATTTCTAGGTGTCATAGTTGATGACAAATTCTCCTGGAAATCTCATATCAGATATGTTCAGAACAAAATAGCAAAAAATATATCGATATTGGCAAGGATTAGATATATTTTGGACGGGAAAGCACTACGTATTTTGTATTCTTCATTGATTTTACCATACTTAGAGTATGGCGTTGAAAACTGGGGAAATACATACAAAAGCTCACTTCAACCATTGTATATATTACAAAAAAGAGCGATAAGAATTGTGCATAAGATGGGGTATAGGGATCACACCAATGGAGCTTTCATACAGTCTAAATTGTTAAAATTTTTCGATTTAGTGGGATATAAGACTGCTGTGGTCAGTTAAATTTAAAAGTTCATGCTATACGTACAACCAAAAAAAGATTCTGTATTTCTATAAGTGGGGTAAAACTATGGAATAATTTAAGTGTAGACATAAAAAATAGTAATAGAATTGATGAGTTTAAACATAAATATAAAGGTATGTGTCAATCAAGATATATGCAAGAACAGGCTTAATGATTAATTAGATGGAACATTGTGGGTGTGGTGTATGAATGTTAACACTTTGTAATAATTCTTTAGTATATTACTTGTGTGGTGTAGAAGAGAATCATTTACTGCTTGCAAACCAAGGATGGTAAGATGATGTCATGGGGTAGGACTGGATAAGTCTGACTTCTTCCTACTCCATTCAAGCATGTACTAGGTATAAGCAAATTGATATTGGATTAGCATTTGTTGGATATGTGTAAAATTATGTGTGTTGTCATATCAACTGTCTTTACATGCTTGAAAGAATAAATCAAATCAAATCAAATCAAATCAGCTTTCCTGAATACTGTCAATTCGCATGACTTCAGATGGATGTCATGAATTTCAACTCTACAGCAGGGACATTACCTGTGTAAACAGTTGATTTTTGTTATTTTGACTGATGTTTTCTTTACATTCTTGCTGCTTGATGAAGGTACTACAAAGCATAAGGCTAAAACAGAGCTCCTGCAAATATAAATATGACTTGAAAAACGCAGGCGCACACACAAAAACAACCATCTCCCCACCATATGTGTAAAGTCTGAACGCCAAAGAGACATATTGTGATTGCTCTGTATTAAGACAAACATTCAGACACGCACATCAGCAATGGGCTGAAACAGAATTATTTCATATCACGCTCTACAAATCTGGAAATAATACAGTGAGTGCATAACCACGTTCAAATGTGAAGCGTCTGTTAGCGCCTGTTGCTCACTGGCCCACACACACACACGTTTGTCTGTGTCTGCATTTGTGAAAGAGAGAAAGAGAGAAATATAGATGTGTAAACAGTTCTGTTGTACTGAGGTAAGAATCCAGTGAGGCAGCACAATTTCCTGGACACTGAAGGACACACACTCACACACTTTTACACACAGACATGGTAAGTGGACTCCTGTGGACTGATGTTGCTATGAGAGGCATGAGTAGTGAGGTCAGTGTGTGTGCAGATACACGTAATGCTTCGTCCATGGGAGAACAGGCTTCATCAATCACAACTGGAGAGCAACTGGTCAATCAGCAGTAGAAACCAAAACTAGATGGAGGTTAAGGCCAACAACCGGGGTGATCATTCTTTATAATGCTGTAGTATCGTAATCGTAGAGTATTATATCCATCTGGGCAGATGAGTTGACTGTAAATGCACTGTCTGATGCTCCCAGTATTCTGCTCTGTCTCACCTGCTCTAATTCCTTCTGTAGTTCAGTAACTATTACATTTGGGGGGTTGATGATGAATGATGACAACTGTATCTACTTGACTGTGTGAATGTGAGAATAAAAGTGTTGTAACTGTTCGGACAAACACACTCACTGATGACAGTGACAGTACTGTGACTGTGTGTGTGTGTTAAATTGCTTTAAATTTTTAGGATGTGGGTTGGGGGGGTGATTCCCATGCTCCCATCAGCACCCAACTCCAGACTCATCCAGGCTGGCTTTTGTTGTTGCAGGCTGCATGTGGTTAAAAAAGAGTGAAGGAGGAAAGCAAACAGAAAGAGAAAGAGAGTAAGAGTCCCTAGGGGATTGGGGGGGTCTGTAACGAACACTGTTAATAGCAGGCAGGGGTCAGCAGCGCTACTAAACAGTCTGTACGACTGCCAGGGTGGCTGTGAAAACAGCACCTGCTGGTAGCGCCACTTGACAAAGGCAGCTGGGTCAACAGCCACTGTGGGAATTTATCAACTTTGGGAGGGGTGGTGAGAGTAAGCGAGTAGGAGAAGAGCGACAGTGCTCACACAAGGTAGTTACATGGACAGAGAGCAAGATGATGGTAACATAACAATTAAAATGAAAACAGAGTGAAAAATGTGCAAAATACATGGGCTCAGGATAATCTGCATGGCTGCAAAAATAAGCCAGAGAAATCTGCATGGCTGCAAAAATAAGCCAGACAACTAGAGAGAGACTGTCATTCTCCTCCCTTCTGTCCTTACATCAGCTTAAAACAAGAATATCCATATCTTAACACTGGCATCCATTCAGGTCTGTGTCATCAGAGCACTGTGGATGCTCTGCCTCAAATTTGTTCCTGATCTGCTGTGATTATTATGTTTGTCAGTGTGTGTGTGAGTGTGTATGTGTATTTAGCTTGTTGGCTCACAGGCCCTGCTTGACTGACATGAGGTATATGTGAGAAAAGGGCTGTGGAGTGGTGTACATTGTGTGTCCTAACAATGGCTTAATCAAACGACCCAGTGTGGTCTCTTTTGCTGTTTTGTCATCCGACTCCATTGTTTGGGGGCTTCTTTTGTAGCTTCATTCCTTGTTTTAATTGTGCAAGAAATTTACTGTGTATTGTAGGAGCTAGGGCTATTCAGTGGGACTGGCAAGCAGCTTTGTCAAGGGGAGGACCACAGCAGCGATGTAGGAAGATTTAGAAGGGATAGGAAAATAAAGAAAGGGCTTTTTTTTCTGCAGTGTGATGGGAGCTACCACATGCTCACACAGGCTCAAAGATGTGCATGTTCACGTGTACCCACCACCCACACAGTTTATATCTGTACACACAAAACACAGAGAGGCACACATACAGATAAATAGATCCAAAAACGAGCACCTGCAGTCTCCTTCCCCTACACATACAGTGATTTGTGACTTCCATGGCCAGTGCAGTTCATAAAAGAGATCCCAGTACCCTATTTGAAGTTCACTGTTCACTGCAGCTGACAAAACCTCAACATGTGAAAAATCCTTCATATTAATAGCTTTCCCGTCTTCTCTGTGGAGACAAACAGAAAGTCATATTGCATTTTACACCACAAATCTGCAGGAGGTCTGGCTCAGTATGTTAAACAATTGCCAAAGACCAACTGTAATAGCAAGGCGGACTCTGTCCATGCCTAGACTGAGGACCACATGTGTCTTATGATATGATAAACATGCAACTTTATTATATGGCTTCCATGGTGTGTTATATATACACAGAGGGACTGAAACAAATCTCTGTCTTACGAAATATCATAATGTCTTTCTTTGTTAGTATAGTTCTTTTCTCTAAAAGAAAGAGCTCTTACTAGCATTATTTGTTCCTGGCAGAAATACAATGCTTTCATTGTATAAATAATTATGTTATTAAATGCAGACTTAATGGGACCAAACAGTAGCCAAACCTACCCATGAATACCTGTCTACAGTATATGAGTAGAGTAAACCACTATCAGTCAGTTTGAGGGCTACGTCTTTGGTAAATAACAATGTTTAAGGCCTATACAGGAGGTAAGACTGTTAAAAAGCAAAAGAAGATAAGCAGCAACAATATAAAATGTTGAATATTAGATTTTCTCTCAGTTAAACATTAAATAATTCAAATTGCTTCATGGCTGTAAAGTGCTAATCAAATAAAACTTGCCTTGTCTTAGACATACGTACAGTACAGTACACAAACATACAGTACATGCACGGTCCGACGCCCATTCTTAAACTGTGGGAGTAATATATGGTCAAGTAAATCTCAGCTCAAGGGTCCAACTCCTCAGTGATTCAGAGCTTTCAAACACACCTCGAGCTCACCACAAAGATACAGTATGACTGGAGAGTTTTCAGTCCCACTGCTATACCACAAACAAGCTCTGTCCTGTCCTGCTCTCTGTCTCTCTTTCTGTCTCTCACATACACTCTGACACCACACACATCCAGCATGCTTCAGAATGCATGGTGGCCTATTTATTATTGAAGGGGTACTCCAACTGACAAACAAATACCTAGAAATGAAGTAATCTGGCAAGGACATGTTTACACAAACACTGCTGAGGGATTTTATGGCTGATGTTTCCCTGTAAGCCTTTACCACTCTTCCTAACAGTTCCTCCTCCCCTCTCCCAATGTTCCCAAACATACAGTTGATCAAAACACAGCTCGAGATGCTATGATGGACCACAAAAACCACCATACTCTAAAACAAACCTCTTTCTGAGAGGGCTTTAGGGTCCAGATGTCCCTGCAGTATGGAAGAGAAAAGAGGGGAGGACCACCAGACTCGATAACACGCTGAGGTCAGGCACATTAGCTACCCCATTTACTCTCCCGTCACCCTCTCTCTACCCTCCCCTGTAACAAGATCCTATTAACGAACCCAGAATGTATTAAGAGTCAGGACTTCAACACCACAGACTAAAAGAGTCCAGTTGATGGTGGAAAGAATTGTTATTTGGGAGAAATGCATCCAGTAGCCATGCCAGAAAACATAAATATGGAGCGAACCACCAGAGCCCCTTTGAAACATCTGTAGTGTAGCACAAGGGTTAATCAAATCTGGCATAGCCTAAAAAATATTATTTGTTTGGGACTTTTCCTTATGTTTTTCAGTCAGTTGGGCACAACCCTCTGACTGACCTGAGAGGACGGGCCTAAACCATCATGATCTCGCAATCTCAAGTTCCTTCAAACGTTCTGATAAGAAGATAGGCAGAAATATGAGGGTTCAACTCACAACCTAAGAAGCAATTGGTCTGCTTATGTTTGCAATGATTTCTTTACTCCCAGGCAGAAAAGCTTCTACATTCATTCTTTATTGTGTTGGTTGAATGCATGCCCTGTCTCCATATGTTTTTGTTGACAAATGTTTTTCACATGTACTTTGCTTTGTACAGTTTGCAGATCCATTCCTATCTCAGTGATTTCTAATACCGTGATGCATATGGTAAGCATTACAGTGACACACACACACATTCAAATTAAGAAGCTACACTCACATGCATGCTCCCAACACATTCCAGTTGTTTAACATCAACTAATTAGGCATTAGACTGCACAGAGATGGCCTGGATTGAACCATTGAAAGAAAAATTGATGTGTGCACTATGATGAATAAAATGTGCTCTACATTATATGTATGAACATGTGCTTATGTTTGTACATGTGTATAAATACAATAAGTTATAAGACCTCGTTGCTTGACAGCAGGTGCCTTTCTGTTTTCCTTACTCTCAGATGAATAAACCCTGCTGTCAAATGCTCTGAAAATATCCAGCAGGCAATAGTTAAGCAGGTGCACTTTGCCAGCTAGTCAGTGCTGGTGTTAGTAATACTTTACACTAACATTTTGAAATGCTATGGGTATTCTCCAATTACGGCTCAGCATTTGTTTTGGACAAGGCGGGTAATGATGTGGTGGCTTGTTGAAGGGCATAAAAGGTCTGGTCACTGCAGTAAGTGTGTGTGAAAGGGACGTGTAAGCAAAGACCTGAGGAGGAAAATTAGAGAAAAAAAACCTCCCTGCTGTAAAATATGATAAACAATAGATCCACGGTTGCAGGAGAATCAGTTGCATGAGTATCTAATCTTGTATGATACATGTGGGATTATTTTAGCCTCACCATAAAGCACAGCTGATATGACATTAGGGATAACACTACAGTCTACAAACATATGGTGGCTGAAATAATATGACACACTCAAACCAACCCCCAACCAACCTTTTAGGGTCCACCAGCTTGTAGAGTTTCCCGCTGTGTGACTGTGTCATGCTTTTACTGCTTGCCAATATGTAGACTTCTCCTGTAAAAGAAGAAAAGCCACATGAAAAGTGTCCATTAGCATGATAATTTGTTATGTGCTGAACACTTTCCAGTGATTAACCTAATGCTAGAAGGAAAAAAATATGCACAATAACACTTTCATACAATCCTTACTCAAAAATGAGGAAAGGAGTCAAAGTAGAGGACGTAGGACTTGACAAGAAGAGGAGAAAGAGTATAGCTAAAGCGTCTGCAGTTCTGCCACTTTCCACAGGACTTTAAGAAAGACTGTAACAGGACAACTGGATACTCATGACTAGGAACCAGGTGGATAATTTAATGAGGAACAAGCCTGCAAGAAAATTCCATAAGGGGGCAAATTGTAAACATGTGTCTGTGGGGCCCATACTTTGGGACCCATGCCTGCCCCCACCATGGTTCCTTCACCACTTGCAGACAATGATCAAATGCAGAAATCTTTAAATACCTCATCACACACGACACATTTCTGAAGCCTGTTATCCACATCATCTGTTCATTCTAACCGGAAACACCAGAGCTGACAGTTGATAATTTTGTGCCTGTGAATGTCTGGTGGGGGTCAAACTGGTAAAATGTTCTGTATCATATTAGCCCACTCACCTCAGCTCACCCTAACTTATTTAAATACTGCAGTTCCCCCATCTCTTCTCTCTACCCATGCAAAACATTGCCTTCTAGGTGGTCTAATGCAATAAGGGGGTCTTTGGAGTATCATTGCTATCTTATGGAAATTGCAGTTAATCCAAAAGGAAGTACATAATATTTAATGTCCTGTTGAGAACGTACCATAGACGTAGAGCCAGAGGGGCATTAGTTTCCCTGAAAATTTGAATGTCACTTATTGTGGTTAGGTGTTCTCAAATTTTCGGTCATCGTTCTACACGTTACCCTCTGGTGGAGTAAAAGATCCCAAACACCTTGTTAAATAATCAGCTGAAAATTCCACACTATGATGTAAATATATGAGCCACTGATATATATACAACAAACTGACTCTTTGTCATGATTTTTCCATAGTTTTGCCATCTGTCATTTGAAGCCAATATGCTTTCATGGGTTCATGCTGTAAAACCCCTGATTAACTTCAGAAAATATATTAACAAACAGTTGTCATTCATGTGGATGGAGGAAGAAAAAAAAGGGAAAGCAAGAGTGAGAATCCACAAAGAGACAGAAAACAGAAAATGTGTTTAACTGTGTAGATTTCTTATCACTGCCCTACTAACCTAGTTCATCCTCTCCGAAACCCAAGATGTTTCCCACAAGCATCGAGCCACAGGAGCTAGCTGAGCCCAGACACAGAGCTTTTTCCTGCCACTGTTCACCACTTGCTGATGTTGACAATGTCGACTTCTGGAGGATCCGCAGGTTACTGAGGCATACACAACACACAAGGTAGGTCAATACATTCATTACTTTTGTCAGTGTATATCATTGTGACTGTTAAATGCTAATGTATGGAATTTTATGTATAAAAGATGCAAATTGATTACATTTATAAACTATTATGCAATTCATTTGCAGCTATATTGGCCAAGTTACAGTTAAGATCTGCAAACAAGGACAACTGTTCCTCCTTGTAACATGGATCACTGACCCATCTTCTTTTTCCACCCCATGTCCCACATGGTGTTATTCAAGACCACGGCTTTAAGTTTCAAAACAGACATCATGCTGGAGCCTTCACTTAGCCGTAGCAATGTGCCCCCAAACTGTAATGAGGCGGAGAATTAACCGACCACACGCTGTTTTAAACACAGTGCCAGCTACTGATAGCGTACTTCCCCCCTACTATTTACTTACTTTGTTTACTCAAGCGTCAGTGTTTGACATCAGCAAAGTAGGATGAATTACAAACTAAAGAAAAGTGTGAATAGCACATGGCCCATATATTATTTCCATTTACATGGAATGGGCCATTCCGCAGCGGTGACAGCAACTTGAAACTTGTTTTCCCCCAAGCAGACTGAACTCTGTGTTTACCTTGGCACATGCTGATGCAAAGGACACATTTTTCAGTGTGAGAAGGAAGAGTCACTTTCATCTCAGTAAGAATGAAGATGTATCTGATAACTCATAAATCAACTAAACATGAATGCCAACAGGATGAGGCCACTACAGTGTGTTCAAAATAAAGGAGGGCCCAGCTTTCTGACCTTAAGTATGGAAGATTTCACAACACACAGCAACTTAATGTTCAGTCACGTCATTAATTGGCACTGTCTTAACAGTCAGTCCTTTCTCTTACTTACCCATTTTTATCTCCAAACACATAACTGCCATACAGTCTTCTTGACTGGCAGCCTCTGTAGATGAAGCCTCCCACAGGTGGTGCCCCTCCACTGGACTGCAGGTCATAGACAGAGGGCTCATTTTCTAGACAGTGACAAGGAGGTAAAGGCTGGATTTAGGAATTTCTTATTAGCCTATTGCTGATCATCCATACATAATGCTACCATACACCTACAGCATGCATCAACAGCAAACAATGCAATATATTCCATCTGACTGAGATACAATGTAGTAATCAAAATATTCAGCAATCTGCATTCTTTAAAGGTTGTAATCTACCAATTTATATAAGGACTTATCATAATTTATGTCTATAATAAGTGTTCGTTTGTTTGTGCTGGATTCAAAAACAAGTTTACTTAATTTTTAAATAGTCCTTTAGACACAATATTTGTGGGGTTCCTATTAGAACCAGACACGTCAATGAGAAAAAAGAGGAAAG